GGCCCACACGCCTCGCACGCGGGCCTGACAGAAGCCGGGCTGGCCTCCGCGCGCTGCAGAGCGCCGCACCGCCACGGGGAGGCCAGGGAGGGGCGGGAAGGCTCGCGTGTGCGGTGGCTGGGTCGCCCCGGCCCGGCCACCCGAGCCCGACTTCAGCGATTTCCCTCAAGCTTAGGTGCCAAGATGGCGGCTGCGGCGCCGCAGCTCAGGGAGGGGGGAGGAGGGTGGGACGTACCATCCCCACCCTGGGGAGAGAGGGGGAACGCAGCGAGGGGGAAAAGGAAATCTGGCCTGCAAAAATGGGGAACGCCCCCTCGCTCCACCCGAGCGTGGACCCGCCCACTCCCCCGGCCGGGGCACGCGCGGCACCGCGGGCCACGCCTCTCTCCCCTTGGGCCAATGAGCGGGCCGGCCGGGAACCCTGGGTTTTATGAATGGGCTCCGCGCCCACCCACCTGCTGCCCAGCTTTGGCCCGCGAGGGTCAAGGCAAGAGGCTGCCGGGGCCGCCGCCGCCGCCGCCGGACAGTCGTGTCCTCTGGCTCGCTGCGCAGAGGCTGAGTAGCCTGCCCACACGCGGTTATATAATTCCTCCCCGACGAAGCTCTCCCCATATTCAACACAAGTCACGGGTCTATGCAAACTCCACTCTCTGCTCGTAGTCGCGTTTACACAGTTACAAAAATAAATGTGGCCTTTATTACCGAGTAATAAAATAAAAAGCATAATTAGCCGTAGCATCAGCAGCAGGATGAGGCGATGAAATGAGTAACAAGAGCATGTTACATTGTCTCTGGGGATGAAGTGGGTTTTAAGCATCACGAGTGTTGAAAAATGAAAATCCCGATACTCCCGAAGCGCAGCGGGAGCGGGGCAAGGCGAGCCCGGCTAACGTGCCCGTCCAGACTGCGGAGCGCGGCCAGCGAACGGTGTGCCCAGCGCAGACGGAAGCACACACACACACAAAAACGAAAAGCCCCTGGAGATTTGTTGGGAGCCAGGGTCTCGGCTGTGCAGCCCAGGCTGGCCTCGAACTCACAGCAATCCTGTCTCAGCCTCCCTAGTGCTGGGATGATAGCCGTGTGCCACTATGGCCAGCTTGCCCCTTGAGACTTTTGGTACTGTTTTTTTAACATCTGACTAAAAAATACTGTAGTAGTAAACTCTTCCCCAAAACCAAGAACAACAGTAAGATTACTACATGATTTAAAAAGAAGGCATGATACAACCGCTTCCACTGTCTTTACTCTGAGGAGCCGGAGGCAGGCGCACGGGCAGTGTGGTCTTGACCCCTACAGTCCTGTGTCCGCACCACCCCTGTGGGACAGGAGAGGAAGCCATCCTTCCCATCAGGAAACCCGGCCCCCCTAGCCGCCGGATTTATGCTGAAAAATGAGCCTTGCTGTGTCCCTAACAAGTTTCAGGGTGGTTTGCACACAACACTCACCAAACAAGGCACTGTCACCCAGCCTGCTTGTTGGTAGAGTGCTACATCTGTACACACGCACAGCCTGCCTTTCCAGTTCCAGCAGGGGCGCACTCAGGGCTTCCTGTGCCGTCTTCTCTCCCCGGTTCCGTCCCTCCTGGCTCTGCCCTGTGCCGGCGGCGTTCTGTCACGTCATCCGCGTGAGTCCCCGCAAGCGCGCCCCACCCGGTGACTGAGAGAGGTCTCCGGCAGGTCCAGGCTGCACTGCGGCAGTGGACCCAGTGTAGAAGCGCCGTGGAGATCCGCACCTGGGCCCTCGCCGTGCTGCCCAGGAGAACAGTCTCAGCCTGAGCCCCTGGCCGGGTGCGTGTGGGTCCCCTCAGGGCGCCACTGGGGCTCACAAAGGGGACAGGGTCACTCTGAACAGTGCTGGTTTGATGTCTGTGGAAGCAGTCACTTCACTCCTATGAAGAGGATCGCAGAGGGGCTGGCGCTCACTCGGGCACAGCGGGCGGCAGGGTTCACCTCCGCATGAAGTTCCTCTCCAGGGCCACAGAGGTCCGCTGCAGGGAGTGGATGTTGCGCTTCACGCGGTCCTCGAGGGAGGATGTGGACGCGCTCTCCAGCTTCATGCGGCTGTGAGACAGGGGTGGCAGGAACAGCTCGTCAACCAGGCGGCCTGGCGGCACTCAGGCCGCCAGCCCCAGCAGCTGTGCGAACCCAAGTTCTCTGAAGCCCGCACACACAGGTTTCAAGTGACTCCATCTGGAACCACATTTTTTAAACATCCGTAAGGGAAAATTCATCTGTTTCAAAAAGAAGTCAGGGTTTCACTGGAAAAAAAGGCTTCCTGGACCTTCAAATCTTATTTTAAAAAAAGGCCAAGGAATTTCAGGGATTTGAAGCAGGAGTGGTAGCACATGCCTATGATGCCTGCACTAGGGAGGCTGAGGCAGGAGGATTCCTGCAGGAACTCCAGGAACCCACCGAACCAGAGGGTCTCCCGAGGGCTGCCCAGGGCCAGCAGGGGGCGGTGGCACTCACTGGATGAACCTGCCATCTCGGGCGTCCAGCTGCTCCAGCCGGCGCTCGCGCTCGTCCTCCCGCGCATGCCTCTGGAGGGTGCTCAGCCGCTCCTCCTCCCGCCAGCGCGCGTTCTCCAGCATCTCCTGCCGTTTCTGCTCCAGCTCCTCTGCCGAGAGTTTTCTGTTGGGCACAGACACCCATCAGTCCCACGTGTCCCAGCAGGCAGCCGCACAGGAGAGAGGTCAGGTGAGACCGGGTGTGTCTCCCGGGCCAAGTTCTCTCCAGTGAAATGCAGGCCACAGCAGTTTCCTTCTGACTACTTGGTCAGGCAGTTTCAACCCAAATTTTTATTTTATTCATTTTTTATTTTGGTTTCATTCACTCAGGATCTCACTAGTAGCCCAGGTTGGTCTGTAACTCATGGCAATCCTCCTGCCTCAGCCTCCCGAGTACTGGGATCAGATATGCACTGCATCCAGCTTCATCCAAGTTTTCAGGACATTTAGCAAGGGTCCCACAAAGCTGGGTGTGGTGGCGTACACCTTTCATCCCCGCACTTGGGAGGCTAAGGCGGGTGAGGAGCTCAGGAAGCACAGGCACAAGGCCTGCAGAGGGTGGAGGCGGGGAAGGGGCTGAGGGCGAGGGCCAGCATTTAGAAGCTGTCCCAGATGCAGACGGAATGGCCTGGTTCTGTCCACCCTGAGGACAGCAGGGCTGCCCTGGAAATACCACAGGAGACCCCAGGAAACAGCCAGACAGGAGGAGCAGACAGGGCAGGTGATGCAGCGCAAGAGCAGGCAGGGACCCCTGGCTGCATAGGGGGACCCCGCCCCTACAGTATCTGCGGTCTCCTGGATGCCACAGCCAGGCTGCGGAATGGGACCCATCCCTGAAGGTCACCCCGGGTCCCGACAATGGTGTAAAGCCACAAACCGGACCACACCCAGCCCCCTGCAACAGCCGCTCGTACAGGGTGAAACATGAGAGAGAGCAAAAGAGCCTCAGACTGCCAGGCATGGTGCCCCACATCTGTAATCCCCATACCTGAGAGGCTGAGGCAGAAGAATCGCCAGCCTGGGCTACACAGTGAAGCTTTGCCGCAAAAAACAAAATAACAAATGCCAACAAAAAAAGCGGGGGGGAGGTTTCAATACTATGTGACTTTGAAAAATGTGTGCATATTCATTTGACTAAAATAATCTAAGGAACCATAACTCCATAGTAACTGTAATGAATACAAGAATCATTCCATTTTCAGCTGGGCCTGGTCGCTGCACACCTATAATCCCAGCACTGAGGGAGGCTGACGTAGCAAACTACAAGACTGAATCTGCCCTGGGCAACTTAGTGACCCTGCTCAAAATTTTAAAAATAAAGAAAAAGAGATGTGAGGGTAATTCAGTGCAAAGACCCTGGTTCAACGCTCAGTACCACAAGTAAATAAATCCTCAGCACTGAGGACAGCTGATAAAATAAGACAAATTCAAGCAACAGCAGATGGCAAGAGACAGGAAAATAAAGCAGGATGTGCAAGACGGTTACGCGCCACCCACTCAAGCACTGGAAGAGACGAAAGCCCAGGCCCTCAGCAGCACCCAAGGGTGGCATGAGTGCCAGGCCAGCGCGGTGCAGCCCACGTCCCAGATACAACACAGTCCGCAAATGCCCACTGCCTGGGAAGGAAAGGAACATGCAGCCTCCTCTGCAACGCCGCCGTTCACGATAGTCCTGCTTTTCCAAACGGCTTTCCCACATCACGGGGGATCGGGCAGCTCGGGTGGCAAGAACGAGGAGCCTGGCTCCTGCCGCTGGCTCTGCACTTGAACCACAGGTTGAACCGCTAGTGTCTGAGCCAGGGCTGGGAGCACTCTGTCCCAGCACTCTGAGAGGCTGAGGCAGGAGAACTGCAAGTTCCAGCCCAGCCTGAGCAATTTACCAACTTACTGAGACTCTCTCAAAATGTAAAAGGGCTGCGAGGCCCTGAGTTCAATCACCAAGATTACAAAAAACAACCCCAACAATATCCATCGCGGAGCTGATGATGTAATGGGGCTAGGGTACAGCTGGGCAATGAGTTTTTTATGGTTTTTTTTGTTGTCGTTGTTGTTTTCCGGTACCAGGAATCGAACTCACCAACCTTGCACTTGCCAACTAGGCACTGTGCCGCTGAGCTAAATCCCCAGACCCTGGGCAATGAGCTTTGTTGTTGCTGTTGGGGTACCAGGGATGGAACCCAGAGAGTGCTGCACTGTGCCTTTTTATCCATAAAATGGCCAGCTTCTTCATCTATTTTTGTTTTGTTTTGTTTTGTTGAGACAGAGTCTCGCTATCCATTTCAGGCTGGCCTTGAGCTCACTATGTAGCCCAGGCTGATCTTGAACTAGCAACAATCCTCCTGCCTCAGCTGCCTCAGTGCTGGGATTACAGGTGTGCGCCACCACGCCTGGCTTTTATCTATTTTTTGAGGCAAGAGTGTCTAGTTACCTGGGCTGGCCTCAAATTATGATCCTCCTGCCTCAGCCTCAAAAGGGGCTAGGATTACAGGTGTGTATACTCAGTCTGGGATTTTTTAAGTGCCCTGAGTAATTCCAATGCACAGCAATTTATTTGGGAATGTTGATTTACACAACCCTTACAGCAATAAAGGGAATTTCACAGAACCTGCCCACCCCACCTAACTAGATGCCTCCGGACAGCCCCTCGAGGGCACAGCGGCTCCTCCTCAGACCCTGGGGCTGCACAGCCCAGTGCTCTTAGTCCCTGCTCACCCAATTTAAGGAACACTCGCTACCTTCACTGGTGCACACCTGCAACTGAAGCAACTTGGGAGGCTGAGGCAGGAGTATTGTAAGATCAAGCCCAGCCTGGGCAACTTAATGAGACCCTGTCTCAAAGCAAAGTCTCAAAAAGAGCTAAAGATGTAGTTCAGTGGTAAAGCTCTTCCCTATTGTGGCTTCAATCTCCTGTACTAGAAAACAAAAACAAAAATGTAGAGAACTCCTATGTCTCTCAGTGTATCCCAGGGAGGAACAGCAGTGGTATAAAGAAAATAAAAACAGGAGACAAAAGCTGGGGTCAGGTAGAATAACCTCTTTACCTTGGGGGGCCACAGGACTGAACAGCAGTAGTAGGGGAGATAATTTATACCCTTGCAGAGTTAGTGTCACCGAGAGGCAACGTTGCCTAGCAACTAAGGACTGAAGTGGTCCAGGCAGGATGTTTTTCTCAAGACCAAGGCAGCGTGACTGCTTGAGGCTGGATCAGTCCTGTCCTCACACATATGACCGATTTCCAGCTCCAGACACTCCCAACACAAAAACAAACCAGAACTGACCCTCAGTCTGGAGGACCAGCCTAAGATGGGGGGAGAGGACGCCCAGGGCTCCATGCAACCCGCCTGCAAGCCAGCATTCCAGCGGCCACCTCACCTGGTGTAACCGGGCACACGCCGCTGTTGGAAGGCCTCCTTCTTTGGGGATGGGGATGGGCTCCGGGTCGGGGCTCGCTCCCTGCGACCATCCTTGCCGTTGTGCCTGAGGGGACATGCAGGACACAGCCTCCTCAGCCTATGTAGTGTGCCCGCAGAGCAGGACAAGCTGAGCCCCCTGCAGCGTGTGGAGGTCACTCCCCAGGGCGGCCCATACTCACGCTCTGCTGCGCCGCTGTGGGGACCGAGACCTCCTATCCCTGGGGCTCCTTTTGCTGGTGTGTCTCGGTGGGGAGTGGGAGGAGCTTGCAGATCTGGACCGGTCATTTGGCCTGGACATGCCCTTTGACTCGGCCATCCAAGGGCCTTGCGACCCCGGGTCCCGGGCAGAGTCCCTGACCTGAGGGGGAGAGGAGGAGGAAGACAGAAGAGGAGAGAGGCAGGAGCACAGTCAGAGTAGCAGGGAGCGGGAGAGAGGTGGAGGATGGGGCAGGGCAGTGGCAAGAAACACCATGGGGCCCCCGCATTCAGGAGGATGAGGCAGGAGGGCCACAAATTCTAGCTCAGCTTCAGCAACATAGTAACTTAGCAAGGCACTGTCTCAGAAAAAATTCTGCGAGGTATGGCGGCACATGCCCGTAATCCCAGCACTCAGGAGGCTGAGGCAGGGGGATCATTGTGAGCTCGAGACCAGCCTGGGCTACAAAGTGAGCTCAAGGCCAGCCTGAACTGCATAGCCAAACTGTGTCTCAAAGAGACAAAAAAAAATTTTTTTTTTTTAAACAGGCTAGGGATGGAGCTCAGTGCAAAGGCCCTGGGTTCAAACCCCAGTACCACCAAATTAAAAAAAAAAAAAAAAACCACCCAGAAGACATTTAGTGCACTTGAAACTCGCAGGTTTCCCTCCAGTGAGTTGCGGCTGGCTGGCGAGCTGCCCTGCTCAGAGCTCCTTGCCATCCAGGGCCACCAAGGCGCTTTCCGTCCCTCAGGCCCCAGAGAAGCCCATGGCCCCACCTGTAAGCCATAGCCGGGGGCTTTGGACAACACCGGAAAGGAATCCATCCCCTTCTTCTGAGACCTAAGATTTAAACACAAACACTCACTGGGAAACTGATGCGCCTGGGCCCAGCGAGTCTCCAGCACGGAGACGCGGCGTCGCCCCAGCTCCCGCCCAGCAGCGCGGGGTCACACGGCAGCTTCCCTGGAGGAGCCGTGTGCACAGCCTCTCACCTCAGGCTGCTATTCCAGGGTCTGAGGGTGAGTCAGCTCCGCAGAGCTGGTGCTTCCCACAAAACAGACACAGATCAGGCCCACATGGGCTCATTAACCCATTAAAAAAAAGCCTACATAAAACCCACTTCAAACCTGGGCATGATGATGGCACACCCTGTCATCCCAGCACTCGGGAGGCTGAGGCAGAAGGATCTGTATGAGTTCAAGGCCAACCTGAGCTACATGGTGAGTTCTAGCCCAGCCTGAACTACACAGTGAGACTGTGTCTCAGAAAAACCCAAAACAGCCGGGCATGGTTGCATACGCTTGTAATCCCAGCACTCAGGAGGCTGAGGCAGGAAGATCGTTATGAGTTCAAGACCACCTGGGCTCAAAGTGAGCTCAAGGCCAGCCTGACCCGTATAGCAAGATCCTGTCTCAAAAAAAAAAAAAACAAATGACAAAAAAGACAAAAAACAAAAACAAAAACAAACAAAACAAAACAACTCACTTCCACCCTGAGGACCCAAGCTGAGACGCAAATGAGCTAGACCAGGGGAGCTGCTCAGAGGTCTGTGAGGCTCAAGTGAGCTCACTCAGGCCCTCTGCCACGGCACTGCCAGCCCCGCCTGCACCTCTACGTCCCCAGGGCTGTGTCACAGGCCCTTGCCCAGCGTCCCCACCAGAAGTGTGGCGTCCAGCACTGGCCAGCTCTGCCCAGCAGTGCCCAGTTCCACAGCGGCCTCCACCCTCACCTCCCCCGGCGGGGCTCATCCTCGCTGCTGGACCGGTTGCTGCTCGAGCTCCTATGCTTGTGTTTCTTGTGCTTCTTTCTCTTCTCCTTCTTTTTCTTTTTCTCCTTTTTTTCCAGACTCATTTGCAACTAGAAAATGCAGAGTGTGACTGGGCAGGATGACCAAGCCATCTGCCTTTGTTCCAGCAGGAGAGGGTCCCCGCATAGGCCGCTGCCTCCACCCTCTCCCGGGCGTGGGGCACCATGAGACACAGGCTGTGCCCTCACCACCCTAGACTCCTGAGCAGAACCTCTGGGTGTGTGCTGGGGGTCTAGATACAAGAGTTGGCCGTGGTGGCACACACCTGTAATCCCCGCACTTGGGAGGCTGAGGCAGCAGGATCATTGCGAGTTCGAGGCCAGCCTGGGCTACAAAGTGAGCTCAAGGCCAGCCTGAACTGCACAGTGAGACCCTGTCTCAAAAAAAAAAAAGAGTTCCCAGAACCACTGTCCAGGGCTCCCAACGCTTCCCATTCAAAAATGCTCTAGCCAGGGGTGGGGGCACCTGAGTACAACCCCAGCACTAGGGAGGCTGCGGCAGGAACGCCAAGAACTCAAGCCATGCCTGGGCTATATAGTGAGACCTTGTCTCAAATACCAAAAAGAATTAAAATAAAAAGACTGCTATGTCTTTCTTCTAAAGTAATAGGAAGTAGAGATAAACCCTCAGGGCAAATAGGTAAAGGGTACTCTTTATGCTTATTCTATGTACAACTTACCAGTTCCTTGATTTTCTTCATTTTCACAGGATTATTCAATACCTCCCGTTTTTTTTCCTCCTCTTTCTTCCTAAATAGAGGAATTTATAAAATGATGACTTTGTTTTTCAGGAAAGGGAGTTAACTCCTTCTCCCGTCCACAGTCCAGGTGACAATCTTTCTCCCAAAGCCCACGCGTACAGGGCCTGGGGAGACATTTGCACCCGGAACCCACACAGCAGGTGTGTACAGGGCGATGCAGGACCACACAGCGAGCTCTACCTGCTGCTCCCTGGGCTTAGGGCTCGAGGCTGCCAGCTGGGCCAGCAAACGCTGCCACCCTGAAGGTCCCCTGGCCACACCGTCTGAAAAACTACTTGCCGACAGGGCACGGCAGCGCACTTATATGTGCGTGCGTGCGTGTGTGGCGTGTGTGCATGTACATGCATGTGTATGCATGCATGTGTGCAAGCATGTGTGCATGTGGCATGTTCGTGTGTGCCTGCATGTGTGGTGTGCATGTGCCCTCTCGAGTAGTGGATCCAGGGTGCACTGCCACTGAGCTACACCCTCAGTCCTTTTATTTTCAAAACGCACACGAAGTTTTGCTAGAGGCACAGTGCAGGCCTGTAACCCCAGGGGAAGCTGGGGAGTCACAGGTTCAAAGAAGACACTGCCTAAAAAAGAAAAACAGGCTACAAATTCAAACTAAGTAACAATGTGTGCAGCAGGGTCTCATCTAACAGCTCTGCTGCAGCTGTTACATGTTACACTTTCAAAGCAGATTTTCCTTTCTTTTAAAGGGGTCTACTGGGGCCTGAGATGTAGTTCAGTGCCGCCGTGCCTGTCTGGCACAGGCAAGGTCCTGAGTTCAATTCCCAGTAGTAAAATAAATAAAGCGTTCTGCTGCCCCATCAAAAAAAGAAACGAGGAGCAAGGCAGCCTGTTCACAACCTCCACAGCGCCACCCACACCTCCAAATTTTAACAACAAAACGAAAACAAAAAACAAAACACTCCAAATTTCAAAGAAGCATCCAGTCCACCTCTGTCACTTGGTTTCTACTCCTATTTCTATTCAAGAGTCAAAGATAAATGAGTAAATGGGGCACAATGGCCCACGCCTGTAATGCCAGCACTCGGGAGGCTGAGGCTGGAGGATCGCTGTGAGTTCAAGGCCAGCCTGAACTGCATAGTGAGACCTTGTCTCAAAAAGACAAAACAAAAGAAACAAGATAAAGGAACAGGCTGGTCCTGGCCTGGCACTGTGCTTTGCCGGCCTCCTCCCTTACGGCCGGCGAGCAGAGGACAAACCCTTTGCCTTGGGAAAGCAAAGCAGCCGTGCAGGCGACACCCTCGGCCTCACAGCACCCCAGTGTCCCTGCCGTCAGCCCCACGGTACCTGATGATGAAGAGCGGGTCCTCGCGGATTTTGCTGGCCATGTCCAGCAGCGAGTTGGCCCCTGCTGGGGCAAAGATGGAGCCCGGGAGGAGCCCGGTCTCAGAGGAGCAGCCAGCCTCCTTCTCCTCCATCTTCTCGAACACGTACTTGTCAATGGGGCGGCCCAGCAGGTACTCGTCGCGGTTCACCATCCCACCAGGCCCCTGGTACATCCAGTCCAGCTTCTCCTCTTTCTTCCTGGTTAGAGACAAGCAGACGAGCGCAGTCAAAGGAAATGAAGATGCCTCTAGACGTGCGTACTAAACCAGATCCCAGCAGGGCCCACCGTGGTGCCACACACCTGTCATCCCAGCACTCGGAAGGCTGAGGCAGGAGGACCGCCGTGCGTTTGAGGCCAGCCTGAGTTACACAGTGAGCTCAAGCCCAGACTGAACTGCATAGCGAGACCCTGTCTCAAAAAAAAAAAAAAAAAAATAAAAATAAAAAAGACAGTCTCTCTAGAGTGTTTGTCCAATAGCCAAGAGACCCTGGGTTAGTTCCCACCACTGCCAAAAAGAAAAAAGTCCCC